CCCCCCAAGCTCCTGCTGGACTGGGCGGACTCACCGGTACCAATATACAGCACGTGGTAGAGCGTGTCCTTGGCCTGCACCAGGTCCACCACGAGGTGTGAGAAGCGCACGCTGTCCTGGGTGACACAGGGCTCGGGGGTCACCGGCTGCACGGCCTCACTCATCAGGAACAAGCGTTGAGCATCTTGCAGGCTGCGCTCCGTCAGGTTCTCATTGGGGCCCACCTCAGGCAGAGTGCCGCACTGCCACGGGGAGGCAGTTTGTAGGTGCACTGTCACGGGGCTGCCACCATCCCCTGCACCCCTTCTTCAATTGTTACCCAGGTAGCCTGGGGCAGACTAGATTCCTTATCTGGTGACCACTGCCAACATCCCTATTGCATCCCCCTTTTAGGGAGAAATACATCCTGAGCCCCCTTTTAGGGAGAAATACCTCTTTGGGGGGTGCCATGGGAGAGGAAGGATCTGGTGGGGCTGGAGAGGAGGAAGGGGATATGCAAAGGGAACTGGATTATCCAAAAACCCAGTTCACTGGAGTGTGGACTTCGTGCACTGCTGTGTACCGTCCCCATGCTGGGCCAAGCCTTGACCGCCCTCTCCTCATCCCTACCAGCTCAAAGTTCTTATGCCCTTTCATCAAAGCTGAAACGCAACTGCCATTAATTGAGCACCTACTACATATATTCCAGGTGTGGTGTTGGTGCATATCAACCATGGGATATTACCTGTGATTGACAATATTATCCCTACGTGACAGACAAGGAAAAAGAGACTCAAGGAGATTGGGTGACTTGTCCCAGATCTCTTGGTCACTATTACCAGGCCTCAAAGCCTGAAATCGTTACTACTCCAGAATGCCCCTCCTGTGCAGGCAGTTGGATGGATGTAGACTTCCTTTGCCCATAGGCTCTTTCCCTGCTCCATCACAGCACTGGGGATGCTCACACCACCCATGGCTGTGTCCCCACCACACCTAGGACCCAGGAACCCTTCCAACATTAGTACCCACACTGGGTAGACTGCACGCAAACTTTAGCTACAGCCCCTGAGTTCTGGCCAGGAGCTCATGTGTGCTGTCCTGCTCCCCTGCACTGGCTAGAACTGAGTTCCCGCCCCCCTGCCTCCCTGGAGCGATGGGGTCAAATTTAGAGGTGACTCAGAGAGTGCGGACTTCTGTGCCCCACTCCACTCCCCTTCTCACACCACAGCCTTAGATGTCACCACCCTCTTAGGGAACATAGAATTCAGCTTGTGGCTGGTAGTCCGGAGAAGGAGGAAAGGAGAAGTGAAGCTGTACCTGGAAATTGGGGGTGGGGTTGGCGATGGGGAGCCAGGCAGCCCTGGGGTTCTCCTGGTAGCGAAACGGGCCATTGAAAGCCCGGGAGATGGCACTGAGGTTGAAGGCGCAGACAGCAGAAGCTGCGATGCTATTTCTGAAAGGCAAGATATGGGGGGATGCCGCCCTCCCTGTAGGTAGGCACCCTCCCCTACAGCTAGCTGGGGTCCCGCTCCAAGGCTTATTAAGCACCAGTGAGGAGCCATGTGCTGGGGTGTCACAGACGGAGAAGACCTGGTCCCCACACTCTGGGAACCCTCTAGGACAGAAAGACCCACTGGTGAGAAGCACAAGTAGCCCTTCTGTGCTGCGTGCACATCCTCTTCCCTGCTCCATGAGGGTAAAGCAAGGTCAGTGGTTTTCGAATATTTTGGTTCATGGTCTACTTAAGAAGTACATTTTATATCACAAGTCAGCATAACACAGAGGCATGCCTGCACACACGTCTGCAGTGAGTTTCCATGAAACAGTGCTTTTACGAAATACATTAGATTCTGATATGTTCATTCCATTCCATTCTGTTTTGTTTAACCTTTTTTCTTTTTTGAGAAGCTGTTTATCAAACCCCTGTATATGCCACAGCCCATCACATTCTACACCACAGGAACTGGAAGATCCTTTTCAGTCAAGGAATCAAACATTTCTGAGCCTGATGTGAACAGTTCACGGAGACAGTCACACCATACAGTTGGCTCCAGTTCCCTTCTGAGTTTCGTCACTCCCAAATATGTCCCTTTCTCTCCCCCTCCGCCTGGCCTCCGCATCTTCCTTCGTCTCCTCCAGATGCTGCACCATCCTCCTGGCTGGTGCCCTGAAGCCTGTCTAGTCTTCTCTAATCCATTCTCCACACACAGGCGGGGTGAGCGTTTCAAAATGCACATCCCAGCTGGTTGCTGGCCTGCTTCAAACCCTTCAGAACCTTTTCTTTGCTCTTAAGATAAAGATCAAAACCTTGAAGGCAGTCTGCAAGGCCTTCTGGGCTTAATCCTCTCTACCTGCCTCTTCTCAAGTCTTTTCCCTCTTCATGTTCCAGGTTGCTGCATGCTGGTCTCTGCTTATTCCTTAAACATTTGAACGCATTGTTCCCTGGGAGCAGGTTGCTCCTCTTCCCTAGTTTATTTCTATTCATTCTGTAGATATCACTTCCTACAGGAAGCCTTCCCTGATCAACACCCTCTCTATACTGTCAGAGGTTTCCCTGTACACTTCTCTTTCTTTTTGCAGCACTTATCACAGCTAAAACTGGGCATTTCATAACTACCCTGCTTAGATTGTTAGTCCTTTAAGGGCAGGTCCAGGTCTGCTCTTATTCATTGGTGCTCCCCTTCGGCACCCCACCACAGTAAGCACCTGGCATGGAGAAGACACACAATAAACAACCTATTTACCTCCATAATAATAGTGTTATTTTCCCTTGATGCTCTGCAGCGGCTCCTCCTTTTGCTCATGGGTACACATGTTCTGGTGCTGAACTCATGGCTGGTCATAAGGTCCTGGGTGTCAGCCCCTGGCCTGTGTGGACTGTGCTGCACGTCTGTCCCCTGGCTCGGATGGCCTCTCTGCTCTCTGTCCCCAGCCTGTCTTTCATTCTTGTCCATCCCCTCAGAACACCTTTCCTCTAGCTGAGTCGGCCTTTGTCCAGTGCCTAAACCTGGGCCCTAAGGTCACTGAATGCCAACCAACAGCTTGCACATTCTGATGTTCTTACAAAAAACTCTGTTCAGCTTCCTGTACAACAAACGCTTCCTTGGTCTCTGCTGCCCACTCAGAATTGTCTATAGAAGAATCACCCAATTGGGCCAGACTTTACCTAGAGGGAGGCAGTGGGAGGAGCACTCATGATTTTCATACCAAGGAAACAGAGGGGCTCTAACTCCCAGCCAGTGTTTTCCAGGGCAGTCAGGCTTGCCAGAAAACTCTGCTGGCTAGATTTAGCAGGATCAAGAGTCCTGGGGTTGGCAGAAAGGAAAACACCCCTCTAGGCCTCCCTGATGGGCTGCTGCTTGACCCGCTGGGGACAGCCATCGCCTATCTGAAGCCAGCTGCTTCACTCTGGTTTTTGAAGGTTCTTCCTTCATGGAGCCATAATCCAGCTCCTTTCACTCTGACCTGCACTGGTGCATCACAGCAACCCAAGAGCTTACCACTCCAGGGGCAGCAAGTCACAAGGTTCTAATCTGCCTGGTGCACACACAGCGTTCTCATTTTACAGAAAGTGAAACGAGGGCCAAGAGACAGACATGCCTGAGCCCAGCAGGCTGGGAGGCCAGGTCTGGGCATGACCCGGATATCACGGGGAGGGTGGCAGAGGGTGGGGACTCACACGTTGGTGGTGAAGACCCCGTAGATGAGGTCCTGCTCGGGCAGGTGGAAGGCACTCTGCAGCTCGTTGTAGTAGAAGGGGACCTCGCCCGGGCGCGAGCAGTTGAGCCGGGCTTTCATGAACGTGGTCCACGTGTCCTCCAGCAGGAAACGGCCTCCCACGTCGTTCTTGCACACGCGGGCCACCCGAGAATACACAGTGCGCCCACAGTCATGCTCCACCGCGTTCTCCCGCAGGAAGAAGTAGGCAAACAGCCCAATGTCATACGCTGCCACGAAGTTTGGTTCTGGGGGCAGAGAAGGAGCAGGGGGTGGATCAGATCATCAAGAGGAAGGGGGCAGAGTTGGGAGGAATTTTTCCCAGATGATAGCTTAATGCCGCCACAAGTATGAGGCACCTCCAATCCAAAGTGCAATTATATGGTGCCCTGGGGACTCTGCTCCCACCTCCGATCCAAAGTGCAATTATAACAGTAGTTAATGTGAACTGCTGAGCGTTCACCATGTATCAGACTCTAGGATTAGTACTTTATGTGAATTAACCCATTTGATCCTCATAACAACCTGTGAGGTAAGTACCACGATTTTCTCCATATTATAGATGAGAACACGCGGCACAGAGAGGTTAAGGACTTGCTCAAGGACACACAGCTTGTTAGTGGAGGAGCAGGGATTCAATCTTAAGAGACAGGACACTCATACCACCCTTCTCCTATCTCTTCTTTCCCACAGCCTTTTTCTCCTAATACCTCCTCCTCCCCTTCCCTCCTAGGCTGCCCTCCATCTGTTTGGGTCTTTATGGCATTTATGATTTCTTCCAGAGTCCATCTCCGGCATTCTCTGGCTCCAGGGCAAACATCTGCTCCACTCTAGACCTCTCAATGAAGTGAAGCAGAAAGGACTGATGAGGGGTCAGGGTGGGCAAAGTCAGAAGCAGGGGAGCCCCCACCCCAAGGCTGGGCCTCCTTACCATTGAGCCACTTGGAGTTATACTGAGCAGTGCGCAGTGGCGGCCCACGGCCCAGGCTGCGGTAGATGGCGGGGTCCCGCCCTGAGAAGTCGATGACGGTGGCCGCGTAGAGCTCCCCCTGGGAGGAGATGACAGCCGTGGAGTTGTGGCGTGGGTCGTACGGGCAGCGGGCCACGCCGTTGATCTTCTCCATAGTCCGGCTGAGGTTCCCCACCTGGGACATTGGGACATGAGGGAGATTTACCCCTGAGTCCCGAGAGCTATGTGTTCTTCCCATCCCAGAGTGTTGTTTCCCACGGCGTCCGGTCTCACCGGGCCTCTCCCTATCTTCATTTTCCACCTCGTCACTGACCATCCCAGAGTGGCTCTGAGGAGCAGCCATCATGGAGGAGGGAGGTTGTATCAGGAGCTCCATCAGCCTCTGGCTCCTGTTCCCCCACTCAGGACCCTTCAAGGTAAGGCTGAATGACAAAGTAAAGGAGGCCCAGATAAACTGAATTTCAATGAATAATCTTTTAGTATAAGTATGTCCCAATTTGCATCAGATATACTTATGCTAAAAGTCATTTGTTGTTGAGTATGGTATGGGAACATACATCTGAAGAGCCAGGAACCTGTACTTCTAAAACACAGTGTCCTAAACCAACGTTAACACAGTAAACAAATACAATATAAGTAAATATATAAGTATATCATGTGTTGTTTATCTGAAAATCAGCTGTAACTGGGCATCTTTTTTTTGTTTTCATTCGCCTATTTGCTTAATTCGACCACCTCAACCCGAGGCTGTGTGCCTGGAGGACAGAACTCTAGGCAACCCCCCTCTGGTCTCCTGCCAGCCCCGGCCCCCACCTGTCTGCTTGAACACACTGGGGAGAAGGCATTGGTCCCACACAGGAACACCTTCCGGCCGGCGACAATCAGGACTCTCACGTAGTTCTGACACTCCTCCTGAGGCAAGACAGGAAAGCAATAGAGGGGCAGCTCTCGGGGTGGGTGCTGGGTGTCTTTCCTCACTGCACCATGGAAGCCTGCGAATATTCACAAACACTTCCCTCCGCTCCAGGTCTGCCCTGCTCCATGTCCAGGCTGCTCCTGGGACAGCCCCTCCACACGCACCTCTGGTCACTGTCCCTTCAGATGTGAACCCTGCATTCCCACATGCGCTGGAACCTCCTGCCTTCCACCTGGGCCTCGTGCCCACAGATGCTCCTCCATCCCTGAGATCACAGCCTGCGGCCAGCTCCTGGCCAGCTGGACTGCCCAGGCCACATACCTCGGTCTTCCCTTTGCTTTGGCAGGAGCGGCGCGTGTCCTCGTTGGAGGACCACTCTGTGGCCTGTGGGAGGAACACACAGACCTCATTGTCTGCCCCCTCACCGAGCAGCAGCCAGGGTCTGCAGTGCCGGGAGCGGGGAGGACACATTCCTTGCAGAGGGCTGTCAGATCTCCCTGCCTAATGCACACCCCCTCGGCCTAACACCCTCCCCGTCATGATGGGTCAGAGACGCCTGACTAACAGCTCCTCCTCCCTGCACACATGCACATGGCACCATCTTCTTACAGCCCCGCAGGCCCTCCCCACACCCTCTTTTCCCAGGTAAGCCAGGGAGTTGGAAGTGGCCAAGGGACCTTCTCTCCCACCCCAGCCTCTGAGTGGGAGACAGGAAATATGCCCCTGTTATGTGTCATATGTCCCCAAGATGTGTGGCAGGCAGGGAGGAAAAACCAGATTTGCAAACCTTAGACACAGGAGACCTACTAAATTTTCTCATTACAATCCTGTGAAGTAATTTTTTTTTTTTTTCTTAGCAGATTAGGAGACCCGGGTTTGTGTGACTTGCTGCAGGTGGGTGATAGAGGGGGATCAGAACCCACTGCGCTTTTGTGCCAGGGCTGTTGACATTGCCTGCAGGTGAAGGGTGTCACTGCTCCCTCCAGCTGCCCTTCAGAGGGTAGGAGGGATGGCAGAGGCCAGAGACAGAAGTGATGGGGATGGTGGGGTCCTGTGCTTACTGTGTTTTTTGTTCTTTATTGCACTGTCTGCAGGATTTCAGACTTTCCTTGGAGCACTATTCGTGCTCACATCAGGCACAGTCTGGGAGCCAGTGGGGTCCTGAGTCTGGCAGGGGCTCCATTATTCTGTGCAGAAGACCCAATGGGTCGGGGTGGGGGGTGGGGCACAGCTTCCATTCAGGGACCCAGAGGACATTACCATTAGGAGAGGGTGTTCCCCATCTGGACCCCACCATCCCCTTCACTCTGTCTCTCCTCTCTGTCATCCCTCCTACCCTCGGAAGAGCAGCCAGAGGGAGCAGTGACACTCTTCACCTCCAAGCTGTGTCACCAGCCCTGGCACATGACTCATTAATATTTTTGTACATACATGAACTGTCTACCTGTCCTGGGGGAGACCCTCAGCAAACAGCTCCTTCCAAATGAGGGTGAGGGAGAGCCCCTACTCCTATCTTTTAAATTTCTAGCAAAGGCCCTTCAGGGTGAGGTGGCCACCAGCATAGCAGTAGGAGCCAGTGTGGGAGGGGAGAAAGGCATCTGGGAGGGAGCAGCAGTGTGGCTCTTGGCTTTCTAGGCATGGGCAGCCATAGGCAGGTGCTTAGGGGCAGAGGGCGGGGCTGACTTGTGCGGCCCCAGGAGTTAGGAGTTGCTGATGAGCTGGTCACTAGGCCCTGGAGCAGGCTGGGTTATCCTGCAGGCCAGGCCAGGAGCTTCTGCCTCTGCTCCCAGAACTTGGAGTTGGGTGAGTGGTCTCTGCACTGATCACAGAGCCACTGGGTCTTCTGCACAGAAATAATAGGTCATACACAGGACCCCCTGGCTCCCAGACTATGCCTGATGTGAGGAAAAAAGATCTCATAAACAAGAAATCTTACGGCTACCAGGGAAGAAAAGAGCAAAGACCCCCAAAACTGCAGATGCCCGACTGTGGCAGCTGCAGGGGGGCTTTAGGAGTTTCAGAGTAGGGGGGCATATTGGACGGTTCAGCCTTGTTCATAAGGGGGTGTGGGAGCCACGGGGGTGGGGGGCAGGTATGTACAAGGCAAAGGAGTCCGATAAAGCCACATGGTGCTGGACACCAGGACAGGCATGGTGCGGACACTCGGCCACCTCTCTGACCCTCACCACAGTTAGAGAAACACTTAGCCGTTTGCCCATTTTACAGGTGAGAAAATGAAGCTCAGAGAGGTTGAGCAATTTTCCCATGGTCGTAAGGCCAGCAAGCAACAAACCCAAGATGCAAACACCAGAGCTCAGCTCTGCTACATCCTGCAGCTTCTCGCAGGAAAGATTTCTCAAACCAAAAGTTAGAACATATGGCCTGAAAAGAATATGTATATTTATAATGATTACAGCACAAAATGAGCTTCTCTGAGGCATTTTATTTATTTTTATTTTCTTGTAAAAAGTACTTTTGTCAAAGTAATGATGTACAGTTGAAGAAACTAAATAGTATGAGAGAAATTGTTTAAAAAAAATCCTAGCAACCCATTTCTCCATACGCCAACCCTATTCCCAAGGGATAGTTTCAGCTGTTTTTCTGGGTGTGTGGTGCAGGGTATGGGGGAAAATTGGGAGGCACCGGGGAAATGTGTGTTTTTCCCAGTTTCCCAAACATATGCATCATTCTCAGGCCTTTCCTGTCATGGAGCTGAAGACTTTCCCCATTCTCCTAACCCCAACACACACACATTTCCTCTCTCCCTGTCCGCTCATTACAATCATGCAATATTAATTATTTAACATTTATATGTAATTATTTAATATTTTAAGCTATGGGTTAAATTTACATATTATGAATATGTAAAAATTGTCTACTGCTGCCAACTAGTACCCCTGATTTCACCGAATGTAAGATACCATCTGATCACTTTGCAATATATACAGATTTTGAATCATGATACTGCACACCTGAAACTAATGTCATATGTCAATTACCCTCCAATAAAAGATACCAGCGATTATAATACGAGCGCCTAAAGAAAACATTTTGTCAAACTGCTTTATTATTTACATTTTAATGTAAACTTATAAGAAATGCTCTTATTTGACACTTTTATGACATATCAATATTTCCATCCAAAATAATGTAAGTAAAACTGAGTTAGTACCCTTAAACATTTTTTGAATTTAGAGTTCATCTCTGCTAGACTCACTTTTCTATTTGCTTGTGATTATTTTTTGTTTATTTTAGAGTATCATTTTTTGGAACCATCTCAGGTAGCAGTAATCCCACAGTTTATATAGAATATTCTATCTGGTCTCCAGAATTTTCTTCCAAGCTATTGACCCCATTTTACAAATTTGGAGGCCAGTACTGTGTTGATCTTACCAGAATCCACAGAAGGTTTTCTAACAAGCCAGAATTCATATTCCTTTTCATGGAGCCCAAAATGCCAGGTGGGATGAAATGCTGTTGGGTCAGAACACCAGAAACAGTGAGCAAGGTGGTGCCTACATTGGCGGTGACAACTCCGTTGGACCAGTGCTGTCTGACTGTGACGAAAAGATGTGGCCTGATTTCAGTCTCACTGAAATGTGAGAACACGTGTCCCTGAGAATTAATGAAATACACCTATTCAGACAAGGTTTCCTCTCTCAGAAGGCAGCTGTGCTCACCACTATACCACCGACACTGGTTTCTTTCTTGACCTGCTTCTTCTTTTTCCTGAACTGAGCAACTGTCCATGGCTTTGATTTTCTTCAATTGCTAGTGTAGCAATTACTAAGCGGCTTGTGTACCTGTTACTAAATCCCCCCGAAACACTTAGAAGTCTGACAAATCTTTCTCAGTATCTTTTGCCAACTGTACACAGAAATGATTCAGATAATCTTTTAATCCCCATCGTCTCTCAAGCCCAATATCCAGCCTCAGCCTCCTGCCCCAGTATGGATTGGCTGGCCTTGAGGCCTCCTGCTTGGTTGTTAACCTGGGGACTTATTTTCTGTCTTCCCATTTGCTGAATCCCTTGTTTACCTCTTTCTTGATTTAACTGCTTTTTGGGGCACAATGCATTTTTAGAGTTTTCCTAAGAAAAGTGCCATGGGGATCAATTTTTGAAAATCTTGCATATCTGCTTCACTCTAGCTTCACACTTGATTTATAGTTTTGACATATAATTCTAGTTTCTAACTCAGAATCTGGATGATATTTATCCCTCCACTGTCTTTTAAATTCCAGTACTGCTATTAAGAGGTCTGATGTACTTCTTATAGTCTAGTGCTGCTGAATGAGGGGAATACATGTAAAAAATGCATCACTGGGCAATTTCATCATTGTGTGACTCTAAGGCCAGGTAGCATAGCCTGGTTCTATTTAGAGACCACTGATAGTGATGTGGTGACTAAAATGTCATCAGCTGCATGTCTGCATTCCCCATCCTTTTTCTTTAGCCTCTATAAACTTGTTCTCTTTAATCATGAACTTCACACGGATGCGTCTCAGTCCAGGTCTTTTTGGGGGAGCTCAGTTAGTCCTTTCAAAGTGAAAATTCATCCTCTGCTTTGACAAATGTTCTTGTTATTTCATCTTTAATTCTGTTCTTTTTTTTTTTTTTTGCAACTTTTATTAATTCAACCCACTGCTTGTCTCTGTGCATCGATCTTCTAGTTTTCTATTTCTCCTCTGTTTTTCATTTCTTTTTTGTCATATTAATTTCTGGGAGATTTTCTTCAACTTTATTTTCCAATCCTTCAATTCAGTTTTTACTATCAATCACATTGTCAATTTCCATATTTTTAACTTATTGTTTTATAAACAAAATCTATTTTAATCTCAGAAGACTCTAGTTGGCTTTTCCAATTAATGCTTTAAAATGTTTTCTTATACTTCTTGGCATTGTTTTCTATAGCTCCTCTCATTCTGTTCGCATGTTTGTTTTGATCTTTCTCAATTAACACCTATGAAATAATCTTGCTGGAATCTAAAGCGAATAAAGTCCTTCGTTCTAACAATAAATTTAGAGATGATCCAGGGAACAGAAGAGCATATTAAGTTATACCATCTGGATTATAGTTTTGGTTGACATGACTCCTTCCTATGCTTTACGTTGCCGTTTAGTTTAATGCACTTCACCGCATTCCTCGGGGCCATTGTCCAGAATGGCTTAATGCTTCACGAGATGGTTTGTTCCTTCTAAGTGTGCTCATCAAACCAGTGCCTGGCAAATACCCAGGCTCATTTTAAAACTGATAACACAGAAGAGAACAACTATTCCAAGAAGGTCACTGATGTTCCTGTGCTGAATGCCCCTACAACGTCTAGTGCCCTCCAGACCTGAGAAAAAAGAAACCGTCACCTCATCTAACACATCCTCACATTCTTTCTTTCATATATACTTTTCCTTCACTTGCCACTTGAAAGAAAATAGTAACGGTTATTCTCCTGATGTGGCGCCACTCACTAATAAAAAGCTTCTTTTGTGGAAACAATTTCACGGTTCATAATCTGGCTTTCCAAAATGCAAGTGTTGTGACCTGGTTAGGTCAGTAACACAGTCAACAAAATCCAGACTGTGGGAAATGTTAAAGGAGAAATGACCAGATTTCTTCCATAAATAAGCTGCATAGAGAAAGCAGAGAAACATTATCTTGGTCCCATACTCAGCTTTTTCCCTTTCCTGAGGTCTCTGGGCCCTTCCTTACCAGTTGTGTCTCTGGAGAAAGGGTTTTAGTCTCCTTTTCTACATAAAGTAGAGGAAGGGGCTGCAATATGGAATGGGACAGGAAGCTAGGTTCCAACCTCTCAACTGAAAGAATTTCAACCATTTCTCATTTTAGCCTTGAACCTCATCCTCACATTCCACAATGACTGACACCGATTTCTGAGTTCTTCTAAGGGGTTGCTTCTCCGCTATATCTCCCTCTGTCATTTGTTTCTGCTCTGCTAATTCATCCACTTTCCATTTTCTCATGTGTTTAATACCTTCTCCACTGACATCTTTTGTGTTCTGTCATTATAAATCCATACCTTTAAAATTTTCTTGCTGTCCTTTTGTGGGGGTCAGGTAATGGAGTGGAGGTAGACATGTAAGGTCAATCTGCTAGTATAATCTTCTAAACTAAGGTTATCTCAGAAATTCCAGAATGACAATCTTGAGTCATAGTCACTCACGGTGGGCAGCTAAGAACTGGATAATCTCTTTGTAGACTCAACAACTCCTCTAGGTACTAAAGACAATGGCTGGACCTCAAAATATCTTCTGAGCATCAAGTTCACCACTCAGCAACTCTAGCTTAGAGAATGCGAGACTAGGGCTCAGGAATCAGCATCTCCCAGGCGCAAAGCCCCAGAAGACTTTTCATGTACCTGAGCAAGACAGCCCTCCTTTCTGCACTTGCAGGATATCTGGAAGCTGTAACAGGGAAAAGGGAAGTTCCAGGTTCCCTGCCCCACCCAGTAGGAAGGTGGAGCTGAGCAGAGAAAAGAGAAGAGAAGGAATCTGAGGAGAAGGAAGCAGGATGGAGAGCCAGAAGGAGACACATGGAACAGCGAGCATGTGATGAAGAAACCGTGCTAGTTTCTTGGCCCTGAGTTGGTTGAAAGACCTGTGGGTGAGAGACCTGTAGGAAGGTTGACTATGGCAGTGTTTATATTGATTTTGATTGTGCTCTTTTCCTCCCAGACAATGTTGGTGACTGACTGCACCTTAAAATCTGTGCCACCATAGATATGGTGGTATGGAAATCAAAAGGGGGGAATTGTAACAGATAAAGGTTTCATGGACTCCGCTCCCACTCCCAGAACTACAAATCCCATCAATACCAAGAAGAAGCAGCTGGGACGTGAAGGCGGAGCTGAGCAGCCAGCCAGATAAAACCACACATGTGGGCTCTGGGGGCTCTTTTGGCCTGGTGGTTCGTGCCTGGTCGCTTGGCTCTCCTTCAGTTTTCAGCGTGCTGGCGGAGTCCAAGTCAGCAGAACTGGTAGGACATTCTAGTTAGCTTGTATTTCTCTTTTTCCCTGGATTGTTCCTTTACCTTTCTCCTTGTAAATAAATCCATTATCAAACCTTTTTGTGTGTGTCCACAGTACGATTAAATCTAAATCTTAAACGCGTGGGTGAGAACCCACATATAGGTAACCCCAGTTCACACTGGGGTGCCCTGTAACAAATCCACTGCAATTAGGCCTCCAGCCATGTCATCCCCTGGAACTGCTCTGGTAAAGATCACTCAAGAGCTCCTAATTGCCAGACCCAAGTTAGTTTATCACACTGTCCTCTTGGGCCACCGCCACCTTTTCGTCCTCAAAACCAAGGTATTAAATTACATTGATAAATAACTATCACGGGTGAGCTGATATGATTTCTGTTCCGCCCCAGCAAGGATGTGCATACACACACCTGCACACACAATGACATTCATTCTCACACTCCACATTCACTTTGCCATTTTTGCTTAGAGAATTGGGAAGGAGCTGAGTATTTAAATTTTCCTTAAGGAACGGTAGTTTACATAAATTGTTTAATAGGGGCTGGGTACTTGGAAGTCCTTTTAATGGACACTGGTTTGCATAAACTATTTGCACTGAGAGTTTTCTTTAAAGGATGTTAATTATTAAAATCATCAATAAAGCACAGAGTTTTAAGTTTGGTTAAATCATACCCTGGGGCCGAGTGAGAGGATCAGTTAGCTGTAATGGAGAGTTAGAACAGCACACCCTCAGGCAGTATGGAGAATAAAAGAAGCTGGGAGGGAGAGGTGATGGCCCTGCTTCCTCCCGTGGACAAAGGTTTCTCAGCACTTGGTTGCTTGAGCAGCATCCGAGAGCAGATATCAAGGGCTGCAAGCCCCTGAACAGGAACTAAAGCCCAGAGTTTTTGCTGAAGCTGGGCTTGTTTTTGTAGTCAAAAATCAGGGTTTCTCTCCAGAACAGATGATCGGCCAGAGGACAGGAGGCAGAGTTCTGCCACTTGACTAGTGACCAGTCATCGAATAGTCCACTCCAAAGTCTCTCCCCTCTTCCCTCTCCCCTCTGTGAGATGTACTCCTCACCCCCATAGTGGACATGAAATGTATTTATTTTTCTTCTTGGTTCTGTCATGGAAAATCAGGCTGAACTCCTACCCTGAGTAGTTTGCAGGGCCCTTCAGCGATCCCCTGAAGCTGAGCCCCTGGCCCAACCACCAGTTATGGGGCTAATACAACATGATAGACCAAGCCAGTACAGAGCTGGAAGAACCAAACTCCAGGCCTCAGTCATCTAGCTGGAGGGTCTGTTTCAGATTAGGTCCCAGAAACATGTCACATGGTTCCCATCCCAGAAAGGGAATCACACATGATCGCTTAGATTCTTACTCTTTAAAGCAAGACAGAGCTTCATTCACCTTTGGACCTCAAATGCTTACTGCTAGGTCAGGGCTGGCCCTGGCCTTTAGTAGATATTTATTATATGTTTATTGGGCGATTAGGTGGCTGCATGTGCAGGATGGCTGGCTGAGTTATGGAGAGAAGGATAGATGGTCAGAGAGGTGGAAGAATGGCATTTCCTTGTAGGAAATGGATGACCCCAACTGCAATGGCCCTGGGGACATTGTATCAAGTGTACCTTGAAAAAACAAGGCCAGAGTGTCACGCCAGCTCATCAAGGAGGTCTCCCTTTTCTCAACTGCCCATTGCAGGAAAGGTTCTACCAAATAGCCCAGTGCTTGACTATCTAATTAGGTTATAGCTTTAGTCATCAGCTTTTGCTTTAAGCCAGGGCTTTTCTTACAACCCTTTTGTCCCCAGCTCAAGACTAGTATATGGTAAGTGCTCAATGTCATAGGAACCAAGGTTCTCCCTTCACAGAAGAGATGGCCTTCCTTTATCCAGAATGTTTGGATTCTGCAAAGATAGTTTGGCATCTGTTTCTCAATCTGCGATATGTTCTGGATCAAGGAGTTCCATTAAAATACCTCTCAGAGCACTTAGGGAATTATGCTTGGGGAGTCCTTCTTGGCAGCTGATAATAAATCAATCACAGTTCAGTGAAAATGCTGAATTAGAATGGGATCTCTCAGGTCAGGCTAAGACAGGAACCACGATACCCTTTCTCTCCAGGCCCAAACTCAGAGATCCTTCTGTGGATTTCGAATGACCAGTCATTCCAGAGTGCTGCACCGTACTGGTTTTAGCACTAAAAATCCTGCATCTTAGGAAACCCTCAGTTTCCAATGAACAGGGACAGGCCACCCCCCTGGTTCTGGTGCCCTCTTCTCCCTTTGCAGCTGTCTTACACAGATGTCCTGTGTATGCCACCGGGTTTATGTGGTCACACCCATCTCCCAAATATGTCACACCTGAAAGACCAAACTGACGCCATGCAGGCTTTAGAATGCTTCTGAACCAACCAGGCCTAAGTTTTGGTTATCAACAAGGCGCCAAGGCCGAGTTTAACTGTAAATGTCCTAATCTTGCTCATCCCATAGCAACAGCCAACTAGCAAGTAGGCAAGTAACCAGTACATATCAGAAAAAAAGCCAGATGTCCTAAGGTATGCGGGCCGAGTAGTGAAGGTCACATCTAACATGCATAGATCAACCGGGTTAAGACAAGATAACTTTGTTCAATGTCCATCAATCAATGTACTGCTGAGCAAAAACTCCCCTCTGCTGGGCTAAATCTCTCCTCTTCTGTAATAAAAACCCTCCCTGCCCTGAGCTCAGGGCTCTCAACTTCAACTGCTGCATTACTACATGTTGGGAGCCCAAGCTCGAGCTTGCAATAAAGACCCTATCAGAATCGGCTCCTTGGTGGCCTTTGGGAAACTCAAAACCTGGCACAGCAACACCCATCTCCCAAATATCTTCCCGGCACTACCTTGAAAGCCAGGGTGCATCACAGCCAGTGAAAAGGGCTCCTGTTTGCAACCCTAAGGACTGAATTCTGACTCTTGTTATGCTGCCCCGGCCCCAGTTCCCAAATACTAGAGAAAGGAAGGGAAAGGGAAGGAGAGAAGGAAAGGGAGCAGAGAAGAGACAAGGGGAGAGGGTGAAGGGGAGGAGATGTACCTGAAGTAGGGAGACATTGGCCAGGCTGAGTCTGAAGAGGTAGTTCCTGTGAAACAGAAATGAAGATTGCAAGTCAAGCTGGATCTGTAGCCATGTCCCTGAGGCTCCCGCCAATGGGCTCCAAGACTGGGGCCAGCTGAGGGTGACCCCCTGGAAGAACTTTGCCCCCATCGCAGCATATTTAATCTTCACAGCAACCCCCAGGTGGAAAGAGGCAACTCAGTTTTCTAGATGAGGAAGCAGGTTGGATAAATGGTCTAAGTCACAGAGGTAAGTATGTGAAGGAGTTGGAATTGACCCACGTTAGTATATTCTCGAAGCCCGCAATGTCTCTTCTCTCCATCTGGCCAGCAAGTCCTTTCCCAACCATGGAGCTCTTGCAAAGACCCAGATGAACTAACTTCTTTCTTCCCTGGCAACTACCCTGACCACTTCCCTTCCTCAAACAGTCCGGCCATGTCTCCTGGCTCCACACCTTGTGCCCTGGTGTCCAATCTGTGTTCTCATCTTCTAAGGTTCCTGCTGCAGTCTGAGATGCTGGATGCGACCTTTCCCTGGCCACCGGCGTGGACCACCTCGGGGCCCCTTCCCCTCGTGGCCTAACCAGCACACCACAGCCAGCCTCATCTTGCTCAAATACTTTTCAGGCCATCAGCCTGCAGCTCAAAAACCTTAAATGGCCCTCCCTGGTGACTCAACAGGTTAAAGCACAGCTGCTTCGGTGCGAGTTTGAGCCTCAGCCCCAGAGGTGACCCACCTGGCACAGCAGACTTCTCCTGACCTGCCCGCTGCTCCCCTCAGCAATCTACTTGTCAACTTGTCCATTATGCTCCCCACTCTGTCTCTGGTGAATCCTCTCACTGCCCCTGCACCTGTGGCCTGCACCCCAGATCTGTATGCATAAATAAATAAATCTTAAAAAAAAAACCAAAAACAAATAAGGAAGCTGATGTCCACACAAAAACCTGTACACATGTTTATAGCAATCTTGTTGGTCATTGCCAAAACTTGGAAGCAACCAAGATTTTCTTTAGTTGATGAATGAATAAATAAGTTCTGGTGATCTAGACAGTGGAAAAGAATTCAATGCTAAAAGGAAATGAGCAATCAAGCCATAAAGAGACATGGAGAAACCTGAACTGCCTATCACTAGCCAAAGTAAAAGGTGACACACTGTATGATTCCAACTATAGAACGTTCCAGAAAAGGCAAAAACGATGAAGACAGTAAAAAGACCAGTGGGTTCCAGGGGTTCAGGGACAGAAGTGTTAAGCAGTTAGGGCAGCAAAAATACTCAAATACTGCGAGTATGAGAGCATGATGGTGGCTAGGCAACTATACATTTGTTCAGACCTATAGAATGTGTAGAACCAAGGGTGAACCATAACGTCAACTATGGCCTTGGGGAGATAATTGCATGTCAAGGTATAGGCTGTAACACACAGACCACTCTGGGGGGGGGGGTGGTAACTATGGGGGAGGCCATGCATGAGTCGGGTAGAAACGATAAGGGAGAATTTCTGTACTTTCCCATTAAGTTTGCTATGAACCTAAAACCACTCTAAGAAAAAATATTTTTTAAAAAACCTCTTTAACAACGTGGATGCTAGAACTACCATGACCCATTGGTACTGAACACCCACAGCGTCATGACTGCTGGCACTGCTCTGCACCGACTCTGGAGCTGCAGGCTCAGATCAGAGTGTGGCAGGACCAGTAGGTCAGCAGGTCACACAAAGTGACTGCAGGGTCTAGTGGCTGAAGCCAGAGCACATGGCACGGCACAGACAGGGAATTCCGCTCAGCCACTGTCTGGGGCCAGGGGCTTTCTGAGAGCCTAAGCGTCGGAATTGTAAAATGGAGAAACAATCTCTTCCTTATTTCACAAGGCCTCAGAGACAGGGGTGCATGTTAAAAGGGCTTTATTAATGTCAAGCAGATGTAAAGTCTTATTTCCCCCCAACAATATTCTTTCTTCCTTTCATTTTTGGTTCCTGAAGCTTTTGGGAGTACTTGCTTTAGAAAGTTCTGGCCTACCTCATCTACGCTGAGATGAGAGGAAAGATTGTAGATTGGGTAGAATCAGGAAGGGCCCAGCTGGAGAATCCAAGGGCCTGCGGAGACACCTTAGGCTGGGGGACTTCGCTTTCCCAGCTCTGGCTCCAGGCCCAGAGCCCACTCAGCTTCTCTGCTGTCCTGGGGCTGGAGGGGCCTCACTGGGGACCTTGGTTCCAAGCCTATGAGATTCCTCCCACTCCCTGCTTCATCCCTCCCTAAATCCTAGCAATGCCTCCCCAGCCCCCCGGCCTAGGGACAGATGGGCTCCAGCTTATGGCTCCTCTCCAGCTGTCTGTGCAGGTAACACAGGCATCTGCTCACAGCTTTAAAAAATTAGGGGAAACATTGCATCAGTTTATTCACTTTTATCCCATCAAAAATCATTCATCACTACACTACTCTCTGCTCCTCTGGGAGATGGAGAACAGAGAGAAATCTCTATAGTCTAACCTGCCCTACATCCTTTATGGAACAAGGAGGAGTATAAGGAATAAAAAACTTCCCTGGCCTCAATTCTAGAGGCCCAGGGATTCACAAAGACGGGGGTGGGGGGTGGGAGGTGAGTGGGGAGGGAGGGGAATGTCATGCAGAAGAGAAAGAAGAAGGAAAATGACCTAGACAAAGGGAGAAAGAAGAAGCGGGGAGCAGCTTCGTTCACTGTAAGGGGTGAAAGGCACCAAGACCCTGCCTGGTTTTCCCCTGTTCATCTGAGAGCAGAGCCAGGCTGAACCCAGGAAAAGGTAAGCGGCCACTTGTGTGGGTAGTGCCCAGGTGGATCCAGAGGAGCAGTAGAATTCCAGGCAGGTGACTTAACCTGAGTTTCATTTTCTCGGTCCATCAAATGCAGATGATCACAGAACCTACTTCCTGGGATAGTCTGAAGATTAGATGATTTATTACAGGCCTGATGGGCTACATTTACTATGTGGTTTAGATGTTTTACTATATATTTGGTACATAAGTTAATGCCTGGCATGTGGCAGGTACAGAATGGACGGCAGCTTTCAGAATGCTTCCAGGGGTTCAGAGCAACTTTAAAAAAAAGATTTATTTATTTATGCATACAGAACTGGGGTACAGGCCTGAGGTGCAGGAGTGGTGACAGGATTCACCAGTGACAGAGTGGGGAGCAGAACAGGCAGATGGACGAAGCACTCTGCTGAGGGGAACAGCGGGCAGGTCAGGAGAGGTCTGGTGTGCCATGTGGGTCACCTCCGGGGCTGGGGATCGAACTCTCACTGAAGTGCTTGGTGCCGCCAGCTTGCAGGGCTGCATCCAAACCTGTTGCACCACCAGGGAGGGCCCAGAGCAGCTTTTTAAAATACACATATACATATAACTGGTGGAATTGGAATAAGACGGGCTCAGTGCCAGCTCCCTGGTGGTAACGTATGAGCCCTAAGCAAGATGTTACAAGATGAGGGAAACTGGGTGAAGGTTACGGGCTGGCTGGCTATCTCTGGATCATTTCTCTCAACAGTGACTTTCTCTGCTGGGAACATAGAGTCCATACTCATATGTACTTGCATATGTACAGATTATAACCTCCGGGAGGTCATGGCTCCAGGGAGGGGCCTTTCTTGGGGTGGATGGGGGGTCCTGGTTTTCAGCTTTATCTTTTGGATGTTAGACTATATTGCTGATACAAACTAATTTTTTATTTTAAAACGGAATGCTTTTTTTTAGCCCCACTTCACAGCAGCCTTGTGATGGTGGCAGCACAGAGACTGTAATTCAGACTTTACAGATGAGGAAACTGAGGCTCAGAGATCCAGATCACCTAGGATCAGCTCATTGGCTCTGAGTCCAGAGTTCTGCTACTGAAGTGCCTTTTTTTCATACCACCAATGAGGGAGTGTGGATACTGAGGAAAGCCCAGGGGTCAGATGGTCAGTTACACAGCATAACCTGGGGGTGCCCACCATCAGGGCGATCCTGCAGATCCACTGAGCCAGAGGCGCTGGGGTGGAGTGTCTGAAAAACACCAGTGCACTTACTTGCAGGTAACAGTCTCACTAGCAGCAATAACGCTTGCAGGCTCGAGGAGAACTCGTCCCCATCCTCTTATCTGGCTCAGTGATTTGGGAAGTCACCTCTTCCCTGCCTCTTCATGTTTAAACCAAGGAAAATTGGATGTCCAGACCTGGGTGTGCCTCACCCCCAGAGTTTCTGATTCAGCAAGTGTAGGTGGAGCCCAAGAAACTGCATTCCTAGAAAGCTCCCAGGGACCACTTTTTGAGACTCACTTCTAAGTGAGTCTGCTTCTAAGCTTCCTTTCTTACCAGAGTTGACAGTCTATGGTTTTAGGAGAATGATTTACTCTTAGACCTCCCCATCAAGTTTCCACAAGCACTCCCTGGTGTGCAGGATCTGTTGAATTACCACCTGAACAGTGGGGCCAACGGAAAGGGGCAATGAACAAGGAAGAGAAGCACACAGCCTATGCTGGCATCCAGGGTGCAGGTGAGCAGCTGGCCAGCAGGGGGCCCCTGGGCACTTTCTCTGCATGGAGCTCTCAGGAACTGGCAGATGGCCATAGCTTCCAGGGCCTGGGGTAGGAGGTGGCCAGCAAGCCTCTCTCAATATCTGCTAGCCACTGAGCTATGTGACTTGCTCAGCTATGGCCATCTAAATGTCCACTCTAACCCCTGCCCCCTTCTGTAGAGGACAGCCATCCAGAGAGACCACCTAGCAGAGAGGAACAGGGCCCAAGGTAAAGGTCTACCCAGGGGGTTCATCACAGATTACCTCCCCCCATTTCTGATCACCATACTTCTGGTCCCAACCCTCCTGCACGTCGTTACCTGGCTCCCACGATGAGCTGGTTCCTGGAGGGATCAAGAGCAAGCTGGGAGAAATCTCGGGCTCCAGGATAGGTGAAGTTAGAGACCCACGGCTTCAGGTCTGGTAGAGGGAGAGGCAACCACCTGGTTACTGTTAGCCCCGGGACTCCCAGCGGCACCAACCTGGGGTTGGTGAAGTCAGCTTGTGGTGAGGCAGGGGGACTCAGGGATCTGGGTGACTCTGTCTAGCTCTGTGAGAAGCCATCTGGGGGACAGTTCAGATGACTCCACCCCCCTCAGCCCCACCACCTGCCCAAAGGGAAACCTGTAATCCCCCTGACACCCCCAAAACCTCAGTGGCCAATTGTCCTTTTTTTCCTTTTTTTCCTCTATTCAGCATCATTTCTTGCCTGGACTGGTGCCAACAGCCTTCGAACTGGCCTGGCTCCCATTCCTGCCCCTCCAGTCCCTTTTCCACAAGGCAACCCAAATGACCTTTGTAAAGTGAAAATCTGATTATGTCACTCTCCAGCTCTTTAATCATTCCCAGTTGCCACCAGAAGTCCCAACTCCTGAGCAGGTTTTGGGTTCTGGCCCCACTGTCAAGTAGAATGCTTGGCACATTAATGATCTTGTGATCCACTGAAATAATGATGCCTCATCTATTATATGCCTTCTCAAAGTCTTTACTCACCCACTCTAAACTAACCACTGCACTTCACTAAACTAGAACTGAAACATTGCAGGAGCCTGCAAACCTTTGTACTTCTGTTCTCTCTCATGGAACAGTTCCAGTTCATCCCCATCCTGCTACCTTCAAGAAGTCACCCCTGACCCCCCAAAGTCAGGGAAAAGCATTCCCACATTTCCCTCTAATTGACTGCCATCAGAGCCACAACCACACTGAGTATCTAGTCCAGTAGTTTGGGGGCAGGAAAGACCTTGCTTCTTGGATCTCTAGCCCCCGCCCCCATACCTGGCAGTGTGTGAATAAATATATGAATAACCTTCAATTCCCTCTGTACAAGAGAATCAGGTTCTTGGACAAGGCTCTACAAGTGGGGGAAACAGAGGTGGCTAGAGTCCAATTCTGTGTCTCTAAAGAAGGTTCTTCCCAACCAAAGTCACAGCCTTTCATGGGGATTGAGCAGTAGAGTAGTAGGAAGCCCTCCGGTGGGCGAGGTGACGTCTGGGGAGGGCACCCTCGGAGCAGTGATCAGCTGACTTTTCCTCTCCCTCTGGAGACCTTCTCCCATCTTGATCCACAGTCCTTAATAGGACTCACTCCCTCAGCTCTGTCTCATGGATGGGAGAAAACTGTACCACTTCCAGGGAGCTGTGAGGCAAAGGAACTTGCATATTGCTAGGGTTAAAGATGACAGGGTACTGAGGTCCGATGCTTTCTCTCTGTAGTGCCTTAGCAACTGGTTCACAGAGACTCAGAGAGGAAGGCGAGTGCGTGTGTGTGTGCATGTGCGCGCGTGCGTGTGCCTGTGTGTTGTAATCCAAGGGAAATAAATCATCGCTCATTATCCCTCCACTACAGAGTAAAAGCAGCCCTTCATTTCTGCACGACAGGCAAACACTTAATCGCTCCCTGGAGAACTGGAGGTTTTGTGAGTTGGATGTTTTTCAAAAAACTGTGATATGCATGATTTAAAAAAAAGAGGAAGAAATTCTGCAGCAAAATGAAACAAGCCCTTTGGGGTTGCCTCTGCCCTCAGCAGGTGACCATGGGTTGGCAAGAATTGTCTTGCATTTGCAGTGGCATTTGGGCAATATTGTATAAAGGGAGGATCTTGAGTGGGGTAGGTTGTGTTTTTAGCTGACTTCAAGGCCACTCTCAGAAATCCTGGCTAAATATTATTCTACCTTAAGACTAAGCCAAGAGTCCTGCTCCTCCAGGAAGTCTTCCTGGATTATAAATTTGCCACCCTGACCTTATTTTGTTCCACATCCTCTCAACCCTCTGTTCTTCCATACTGCATGTTGTTGTCACTCTGAAAGTGCTCATGTCTGCTTTCTGTGTGTGGAGGGGATGGGGTGGGGACGTGGGTGGAAAGGCAGGTGACGGATGAGGGGTTTGCTGCTGTCTCCATCAGACAGGCTGTTAACCAACAGTAGTAACCAGGTCACATTTTAATTCCCTCCTTCCTTTCCAACAGAGGCATTTCAAACGTGGGCTACTGAACAGGGGCCAAGGATACAGCAAAGCTGGAAAACTCCACTGGGGACTTCTTAGCTCAATCTTAACTCAGTGCCTTTCTTGGGGAGGGAGAGAGGGGGAGGGAAAGCAGGATAGAACTAGAACAACAATAGGGACCTGGGGATGAGGGAGTGGAGGGTCATGGCCCCGCCCACATTCTGTGACTGACAGGGGCCAGGGGAAGGGGCTACTGGGAGTGAGAGTCAGGCAAGCTGGAGTGGGTAGAGACTCTGAGGGGTGAGGCACAGTGATCCTAGGGGAGCCTTCTGGGGAAGGGAGCCAGGTTCCTCTTATTAAACAGGCAAATAGGACCAGAGGGAAGGCTGTCTTTAAAACACCGAGCACGTCTGAGTACCGCACAGCGAAGGGTTTGGATGGCGACTTTCGGAGAAAAATGACATTCACCATGACGAGCCTGTGATTTTAATTATGGCCAATTCAATTACCCACCTTGTGGATTAACCACCGCCAGTGTTAACGCTAGACTGCTTTCTCCCTGCCACCTAGCAAGGCCATGTTGTGGCAAAAAAAAAACAAAAAAAAAAAACAAAAAAAAACGTGCAGGCCAAAGAGAAACACAAGTGGCCCTTAAAAGACACTCACAGGAGAAAATTTAACCTTACAAAACAGGAAACTGTCTGCCAGATTGTGCAAGCGGCGGCACCTCTAGGGTATGAGGGGCTTTTTCGCAGATCAGTTAGGTGTCAGGGGAGAGGGGAAGGCACAGCTACCAGGGTGGAAGCCTACAGATCAGTGAGACATTTAACACAACATCTGAGGGGCTCCTGGAAGCTGGGGTTTGGCGCTTTGGATGGGGACGACTTCTTGTCAGCCAGAACACTGTCAGTCTCCCAGCGAAAGCTGAGGTCCTCATGTGTGCTCAGAAGTGCCAAAGGACCCATCAAGTTCTGTGACAAGGGGACTGGGGACCAACAGGAGTGACATTTAGGGAACAGCAAGAGAGGTTTGAGTACTCAGTAGAAACTCTTTCCCACTTGAATCCCACAGCATCCATCTTTGTGACTAGGTCAACAAGGTCCAATAAAAGCTTGGAGAAAGGGAGCCTCCCTGGTGGCCTAGTGGTTAAAGCTCAGCACTATCACCTCTAAGGCCTGAATTCAATTTCCTGCCAGGGAGCTGACCCACACTGTGCAGCACACCTCTCCTGCCTCGCCGCTGCTCCCCTCAGCAGTGTATCTCAGTGGATCTGCCTATTCTGTCTCTGGTGAATCCTCTCACCCAAGCATCTCTCGCCTACTCCCCTTCTTCTACAAAATAATAATAAAAATCTTCTAAAACTCATTTAAAAATACAAAAGTTTGGAGAAAGTTTAGGAAACCCCAAATTGGGGCTCTCCCTAGTGGCACATGGGGTTAAAGCACTGCATTATGAAGCTCTCTGAAGCCACTGCAGCACCAGTTAGATCCCCAGCCAGGGAGCTGACCCACATGGCGTGGCAGACCTCTCCTGACCCGCCCGCTGCTCTCCTCAGCAGTGTGCTTTGTCCATCTGCCTGTTATGCTCCCCACTCTGTCTCTGGTGAAGCCTCTCATCCACCACACCTCTGGCCTGTACCCCAGTTCTGTAAGCATAAATCAATAAATCGTAAAAACCCCAAATTGTTAGAAGGGGGGTGATGGGGCAAGTGGGGACCGATGGGACTAGGGAGTAAAAATAGAGGTGATGTTGTCCATGTAGGATTGACAGGCCACCTCCACTTGCCAGAGATAAGGGGACCCTTTAGTCACACTACATCAACTGTCCATGTGAATCTCAGCTTCATTTCTCTACTCTGAAAGAGGGTAAGATGGAAAGTCAGTTTCTAACACTTCACAAATGAAAAATGGTGGGAAGGGAGCCAGGCACTCAAGGAACGCATCTCTTACCTCCAAAGACCTTCCCATCTGCAATTTGCTTCAGTAAAGACCTAGCTGGCCAGGGGACAGGGGATGCCTGCTCTCCTTCCATTTGTCCCTGTTCCCAGGATCACCAGCCCCGTAGCACCCTGGCCAATCCCGAGAGGAAATGTTTCAATGGGAGCGGCCACAGGGACCCCCAAGTGAGAACAGTCCTCAGAATCTCACTCCTCTGTCCCCCACTTAGTCCTCGCCTTCAGTGGCAGCCACCAGCTCTCCGGGAGTCATCAGAAGTCTGAGGATGTGCGCTCATTTTGTAGGCTTAAGGACATTGCTAATTTACTTTAATCCACTTAAGCCTTCAAAGCCTTAGATCCCAGCTCAGAACAGACAGCTCCGAGAAGACAGCTGGAAACCCTCCTCCCTGAGAAGGGAGCCAGTCTGCAGCTGGGAATCCTGCATCTCTAAAAAGCCCTTAGCACCCCCCTTTCCCAGCCCCCAAATCCTATTCATACTACTACTCTCACTCCTCAAATCTCATGCAGGTCTCAGACCCCCTGGATTTCTGTTTGGGCTCCGTTTCCACCTTGCCCTCCTCCACTGGTTGTATGTAATCCAAGATACTGGTTCCATCACAGGACCCCAGAGGGTAGAGCACTGTCTCTCTGTCTCTCTGCCCTGGGAAGTGGGAGGGAGCATTGGATGGGAGTCAGGAAACATGCCGAGGCCTGGCTCTGACTGGTCTTTCAATCTCTAGTCTCATTCCTCCGATTTGTAAAAGAAGGTGCCTCCCTACCAGGGTGACTGAGAGGAGGAAATTATGACAGTGCTTATTATACTTATGAATCGGGGGACATCTGACGCTGTATCTGCAGGTCCCAGTGTGGGTTGCCATGGAAGTGATGGATTAATATGATCTTAACACCACCAATGATCCCCCAAATTGGCTAAAGAATCACAAGAAAACACCAGGGATGCCCCAGTGTCTGTGTTTTGTAGAGGATCATCAGATAAACATACTAGTGTTGGAAATCTTTGTGAGAACTTAAGGAACCCCTGAGTCTGTAGAGCAATTCCCAAGTCCCAATTTGGAAGCTGCTTTCCTGATTGGTCACTTCCCTGGGGGTTCCTAGGATCCCCAAATGGGCATCCTTGTAGCTGTTAGAAGCAGAAGGAAGTTTTCCAGACTACTCCAGGCTCTCTTCCTAATGTGGATCATCTTCATTCTTCTTCTGAGAGAAGCCAAAGTTCATGCTTTCAGGAGCCTAGAGCTGAGCTTACCAATGAGTCCATGGCCAGTCCCTAAAGGCAAAGGAATCCTAGAGAAAGACCCCTGCCTCCCTCAGGCATAGAAGAATGAGAGGCCTAAATAAATTGTCTGGAGACTAAAATCAGACCCTTCCAGCCCATAACTTCCCATTCCTTTTTTTTTTTTTAAATATTTATTTATTTATGCACACAGAACCAGGGTATAGGCTTAGAGGTGCAGGGGCGGTGAGAAGATTCATCAGAGACAGAGTGGGGAGCAGAACAGGCAGATCAACAAAGCACACTGCTGAGGGGAGCAGCAGGTGGGTCAAGAGAGGTCTGCTGTGCCATGTGGGGATCGAACTTATACTGAAGTGGCTTTAGCTTCTCAGTGTCGTGCTTTAACCCGCTGCACCACCAAGGAGGGCCTGGCTTCCCATTCTTTTTATATCTATCTCCAAAGGAAAATTCTCCACACCCTATTTGAGTGTAACATCCCTGGACTCCCAACAGCCAGAGAGCCTCCACTGAAACCAACCTTCAAGACACAGTCATTGTAAAAAGAGGACCAAGTGGGAAGCAGCGCTCACCTGCAAAGGCCACGGTGGGGTGTTCCCTCAGGGTGCACAGCTGCTGCTCACTGTCGACATCCTGTGAGCTGGTGAGGTGGAGAACCAGAAGTGTGAGGCTGGGTGGCAACAAGGTGGCAGCCAGGGGTCCCAGGAACACCATGTTGGGTCTCTCTGCAGTCACAGTTCCAGGAGGCAGGTTGGGAGAAGACCTGCAAAAATACACTCAGCCTCACCATGTGCTCCCTTAGCAATGCCAATTTCTCCCAATTTCCTCATGATTGTCAATGGCCCCATGGGCTTTTTGTTTGTTTAAAAATCATGTTATTTAGTGTTTACTGCGCTCTAGGAATGCAGAGTGATAGATCATCTCTTGAAAGCTAATTTCCCCCTTGTAATAGTACTTTGGACAAAACTGACAAATTATAGAGCTTTTTCTATTACGATCCCAAATGACTCAAAATTAGTTTTAATGACAAAGGTGGTATCTAAAAGACTTTAATAAGTGGAACTAGTACATGAGGTTAGCCATTTGTAAACTGATCAATTTGGATCCATAATTGACAACTAATACTAGGAAAAATTCCAACTGATAAAAAAATTTAAATGTTAAGACTAAAAACCACAAATATACTAGAAGAAAATGTGGGTATAATTTTTTGGTAAACTTGTAGGAACCATGACTCAAAACACAGAAGTTATTAAAGAAAACATTGATAAACTTAAGTAGCTAAAAATCACAAACTACTGTACGCCTGTACCCCTTCCTCCAAGTGCTTGTGTATGCCTGTGTCCTTGCACACAACCCTATCAATCAAAATCAGAAAGTAAAGGCTGGAAAAAAATACTTGTCATCATATCACAGGCAAGCGATTAATATTCCTAATATATAAAGATCTCCTGGGAATCAAAAAGAAAAAGACCAA